TTGTATGTAAAGATGACGCTTTTTATAAAAACCGTCGTCTATTGTATGTAAAGATGACGCTTTTTATAAAAAAAGGTCGTCTATTGTATGTAAAGATGACGTCTTTATAAACAATCCACGACGGTTTTCATAAAAAAATCGTCATCTTTACATACAATACACGACGGTTTTATTAAAAACAGTCGTCTTTCCTACTATAATTAACGATCTTTACCTCTAAACAACGACGATTTTCTTTAAAAACCGTCATCTTTACTGATAAACAACGACGGTGAAAAGCCGTCGTAGTTTGAAACCCAAATAGACGGCAGTCGATTTCACGACTGGGCGAAAACCTTTTACACGACGGTGGTTTCCCGTCGTCTATTTCGATTTTTGTAGTAGTGGTGAAACAGTTATACGACGACGCAGAATCTGAGTCATAGATGTACCCCAAAAATTTTCTTAATTTAACGACGTCATCTACACTTCACGGGCAGAAATATTTTCAATAACCTGAACATGACGTGTCTTCTGCGTCATAAAATCTTTAGCACTTTAACGACGTAGCATATGCGTCTCAGACCTCTTCCTTCTCAGACTATGCAAATTTCTCTCTCTGTCTCTCTCTCTCATCAAATCCCATCGAAACCCTCCCTCTCTTTCTCTGGCTTCTTCTCTGTCTCCCTCTCTTACAATCTATGGCTTCTCTCTCACTGGAACATTCAAGAGCTTCAACCCCTCATCAGCTAGAAGACAATTGCTCGAGGCTAATTGCTTCGAAGGTGAAGGCTGAGTGACAGTTCCCAAGGTGCGATTTTGTAAAGCCCTAACCTCCATGCTTGAAACAAAGTTTTGGTATCAGTTTAGGATTGTTTTGAATTCTAGATGTCTGTAGCTTGCTTTAATTGTGGATTCTATGTGAATGTTTGTTTTTATTTGGATTCTATATGTATGTGATTTTATTTTATTGAATCCAAGATCCTACTTGCATTTCTGATTTTATTTGATTGAATTTGGGTTCTAGCTGTGCGTTAGTATTTAGAATTTTTATTTTTGTTTTATTTTCAGAGAGTAATTACGGTTTTATGTCAAAAACCCATATGCCACGCCTGTAAATGCAGCTCCGAAATGTGTCCTGCAACATTTACCCAATGAACTAGAAAGCCATCCAAGTTTCATTTTAGCAAATAATGAAAGAAAGCAGAATATAGGCATGGTTTGGTATGCATCAGATTCTGGTACAAATGAGAAGCAACTCAGATCTTTAGATTCCTATCCTGGGAAACTCCAAAATGGCACAAATCTACCTGCAGATAAGTCAAACAGGACAAGGGAGCCACTCACTAGAAATGGTCAGTTCAGATTAAAGAAGGGGTTGGAGTCTCTTGATGATTATTTTGGAAAACTTAATAAAGGTAGAAGTAGCTTCTTTCTAATATATGTGGTGAGTAATTATTTCTAACAAAGGGCAATTAATTTTATAATTTTATTACCTCAGATGGAGACTCAGAGAATTATACATTTAGTTCTGTTGATCTTACTGAAGACAACCCTACTGAAAAACTATCATCTATCAATCAAGATTCTGAAAAATCTGATGAGAGGGAAGAACAGAAGAGCTACAGAAATCCTGTAAGTACAAGGGATGATCATGGTCCTCAGAGCTCTCAAGATTCACTGCAGTATAATGAAATCTCTGATCTCTACTTAATGTAAGACCCTGCAACATCTAAATCAATATTTGAATATGCTGCAACTGAGCTTTTCCTAGCTGCTATATTTCATTTTATAGTCAATGTTAAAATTCTTTGTTTTTCATCTTGGATGCAGAAGCATATTCGCTTCTATAAATATTGCAGTTTTTCTGTTTGAGATAGCAAGTCCAGTTAGGAGTTCTGACTTAGGGCTCTTTTCTCTTCCATTACTATATGGAGCAAAGATAAATGATTTGATCCTGGTTGGAGAATGGTGGAGGCTTGTGACACCCATGTTTCTGGTACAAGATTGACAATTCAGTTCGTGTTTCTGTTATGTTTCCATTTAACATTTATTTTGATATTATTAGCTCTGTTGCATTAGGAAGTTAGGCAGTGATTTGGATGTGAAAATATTTATAAAAAAATTATAGGGTATTTGCATTAGGAAGTTAGGCATTGATCTGTTATATGGTTTGGCTCATGGAACTTCCTCTTAGAAACATTTGGTATATGCAGCACTTAGGACTCTTTCACATAGTCGTTGGCTGTTGGGGGCTTGTGACATTTGGGCCTAAAGTGTGCAGAGGCTATGGTTCATTTACATTTTTTTTTATTTACATATTTGGAGGAATCTCTGGCTACTTGATTAGCTTTCTTCATACACCAGAGCCAACTGTTGGTGGAACAGTAAGCTGCTCCTCAACTTCTTTATCTGATTGATTCCACATTTCAATTTTTTTTTTTTTTTCAAAATTTTATCTAAGTCCAATAAATTGATCACAGGGACCAATATTTGCCATGATGGGAGCTTGGCTCACTTATCAGGTCCAGAGCAAAGACATAATTTCAAAGGAAGTTTCAGAGGGCATGTTCTGAAAGGCAGTAATAACTACGCTTCTTAGCTTCACATTGAGCTGTTTGTAAGGCTTCAAACCAAGTGAATTATATGAGTTACACAAATTGACCATATGCCATAGGATTTTATCATCATCCCTGTTTTTCAATTAGCCTCGAGTCATTCAACTGCATCTCTCCTAATACAGACATATTGCTTTTGTTATCTTTCTGTTTGGATAGTCAGATGCCTATGAATGTTTTGTGGATCTGACATATATATTACTGATGCAGCTATGGTTCAAAGACATCTCCAATTGAGTTATAATCTACTTTATTTTACTTTCACAATTACTTTCTATTTCTTATTGTTTCCATTTTATCTTGACACATTATACGCTTTAACCCTTGACTCTTATGCCCTGCTTACTTGCACCTCTAAGTTTCTGATTAAGTCAATTGCTACTTTTATATAATCTTATATTGGCTTGATATATACTTTATCTTAACAAGTTGTTCACTTTAGCAATGGACAAAGAATGGGCTGAATTTGAAATATTGTTGCTTTGGAAATGTTAGGAAGTTCAAAAATTGGCAAGGGAGGCTGCTGAAATTGTGATCTTAGAGTCATAGATGAGGAAGATGTCGAATCTCTTATATCTGAGGTTATTATAGCTGTCAATGGTAGTCAAGTATTTCATGTTCTATTATTGACTTCAAGCGTATAATATCGTATTTCATGTTCTGTTATTTCATGTTTTTTTCACCAAAAGCACTTAAGCCATTGCTTCCACTGTTTCTATCAGAGCTGCCGAACTTGGTATTAATCTTGCTATTGCAGATATTGTCATTCTTTATGATAGTGATGTGTATTGATCGTGCACTGAGATGATACGTTTCCAGCTAAGCATTGATGGCATTATGTAGTTCTTTATCAAACCATGATTTTCATTTTCAAACAGTATATATACTACTGAGGAGAAAGCGATTGAGAGGGCTTATAACTACTTATCTTTTTTTTTTTCCTAGACCATTGAAAGCACTCTTGGAGAATTCAGGGTATGTGAAGTGTTTTGAAGCCAACTTGCTGGAAGTGAACGTGTCTCCCAAACAAATGCAGATGGTAGAAGATTGAAGGAGGATAGTCTACTATCACCCCGTACCTCTAATTCTTCAATGTCTGAATCATTTCCTCGTTGACGAGAAGAGAGACAAATGAAGTTATGTACTTCTTAGTTAATTTAAATGTACTAATGACAATTTATTTTCATTATACTTCTCCTGATGTACTAGAATCATTTTGAGTAATAGAAATATAATTTAAAGTACTTTGCCTTTGTGTCTTTATTTTTTTTTATATGTTAATTTCTTTTTGCATAATTAAAATGATGGAATATATATATATATAATTTTTATTTTTAAAAAAAAATTAAGAATTTCAATGACGTCTAAACTGTGTCATTGAAACCACATTTCATGATGCGGAATAGACGTCATGTTTTGGAAATGTTTCCACGACACGATATCCGCGTCATTGAGACCTCATTCCATGACACGGAGCAAATGTCGTGTTTTGAAAAAGTTTTCACGACGCGCCATTCGCGTCATTGAAATCTCATTTCATGACGCGGTACAGACGTCATGTTTTAAAAAAGTTTTCATGACGCGCTATCCGCGTCATTGAAACCCTATTCCATGACGCAGAATAGACGTCGTGTTTTGAAAAAGTTTCCATGACCCCCCTTTCTACGACGCGAGTAACGACACCTGATCCGTGTCATTAAATGCCTTCTATGACGCAAATCAGACGTCATAGAAGGGTTTTTGTGTTGTAGTGACGGTAAGTTACTATACCAAATACATTCGACTAAAAGAGTATGTGATTCCTTTTTTTTGGATTTTCCATTCCCATCTTGCATGGAAATACCTTAAAATCCACTTTTAAAACATTAAACAGAATTCTACAACCAAAAAAAAAAGGGTACTTAATATACAGTAGAAAAATTATGTTCGAGTCTCCTATTTTTGACAATATAACATATCAAATTGCATATAATCTATTAAATATACATTATATTAACCATAAATAGCTAGATTATAATGGACGCTGTCAACATACAAAGAATTCTAAGCATAAAAATAAGATTAGAGAATTAATAATACAAAGCCATTAAACAACAAAGCTTTAATTTAATTAGTAATTTCACAATTCCGTAAGATATATGTAACATTTCCAATAGTCATTGGTAGTCCACGATTGAAGGAGCCAGCCACTCTAAAGCATATATCTCTATATCCATCATCCATTCGTAAGTTTCTACATTTAGCTTAATTAATTTGGAGGCCTCCAAATTTGGAGAACATTATGGACCCCTGATTTTGTCGCGTTCTAGGGACTCTCTCCCACCCCAGGTTTCCTAACCGAATTACCTGCCGCTATCAAAAAAACAAAAATAAACTCCCATCTGCTATAAAAAAAAAGATATACCTTACGTGAAAATCAATTCCATTATCAAAGAGCTGCAAAATTTGATTTCCTCAACATGACCGGCGATAACAATAAGAAGAAGAAGATCGCCATTATCGCCGTCTCCTCCTTGTTTCTAGTAGCCATGGTGATCGCCGTCACGGTCGGGGTCACCACGTCATGGAGCAAAGGAGGTTCGAAATCCAACGATGGCCAGACCACCACGTCAACAAAGGCGATTCAGGCCATTTGCCAGCCGACGGATTACAAGGAAACCTGCCAGAAGAGCCTGGAATCTGCTGGGGTCAACAGCACCGAACCAAAAGAGCTTATCAAGGCCGGGTTCAAGGTCGCCATGGACAAACTCCACGAGGTCATAAAAAACTCAACTACATTGCAAGAGCTTGCCAAGGACCCCGGCGCAAACCAAGCCCTTGAGAATTGCAAGGAGCTCTTGGACTACGCCATTGGCGACCTCGCTGCTTCTTTCGACAAGCTGGGTCCTTTTGATATCTCCAAGATCGACGCTTACGCTGAAGATCTCAAGATCTGGCTCAGCGCCGCCATGACGTACGAGCAGACTTGCTTGGACGGGTTTCAGAACACAACAGGCGACGCCGGTGAGAAGATGAAGCGTTTGTTGAACTCCACGCAGGAACTCACCAGCAATGGGCTTGCCATGGTGTCCGAAATCACTAGTGTGTTGGGCAGCTTCAATGTGAAACAAAGCCAACGTCGTTTGTTGGCGGCCGGGGCCGGAGGCGGCACAAAGAAGAACACTCCGAAGGTTATTCCTGTGTGGATCGACAAGCGCACGATGGACGTGGCAAGGGCGACCCCGCAGTCGCTTAAGCCGGACGTGACAGTGGCGAAGGACGGGAGCGGGCAGGTCAAGAGTATTGGGGAAGCTGTGAAGCAAATACCCAAGAACAACGCCGATAAGACGTTTGTGATTTATGTGAAGGAGGGAGTGTACAATGAGTATGTCATGATTGACAAGTTTATGACAAATGTCATGATGATTGGGGATGGCCCAACTAAGACCAAGATCACCGGTAACAAAAACTACGCTGACGGAACAAAAACTTTTCAGACTGCAACAGTTGGTAAGTCCTAATTATTAAGTTTTTTTTAATTATATATATGACATGACATGCTATATGAATGAGGAAATAATTAGAATTATGACAGTTACGTGCAATTTCACATTGGAAAGGACATAGAAATTACATGAACATTATATTAACAAGCTATATATGATTTATGATATTAATATGACTCTGACATATTAATATTTAACATTTTGAAGTGTGACAATGCTAAATTGCTAACGAGTTAACATTATCAGCTGTAGTTGGGGACTATTTCGTTGCCAAGGACATCGGGTTTGAGAACTCAGCAGGAGCCAAAGGGCACCAAGCCGTGGCTCTGCGGGTGCAATCCGACTTGTCCATCTTCTACAACTGCCAAATGGACGGCTACCAAGACACCCTCTACACCCAAACCCACCGGCAATTCTACCGCGACTGCACCATCAGCGGCACCATCGACTTCATCTTCGGCGATGCGGCTGTGGTGTTCCAAAACTGCAAGATGATAGTGAGGAAGCCGATGGACAACCAGGCTTGCATGGTGACAGCCCAAGGAAGGATGGACAGGCGCCAGCCCACGGCCATGGTCCTCCAAAACTGCACCATCTCCGGGGATCCGGAGTACATTCTTGTCAAAGACAAGAGCAAGGCGTACCTGGGCAGGCCTTGGAAGGCCCTCGCCAGGACCATCGTCATGCAATCGCAGATTGATGACATCATCACTCCGGAAGGGTGGATGGAGTGGACAGGCTCGACGAATCACAAAAGTTGCTGGTTTGGTGAGTACGGCAACAGAGGGCCCGGCTCGGACATGACACGGAGGGTCACATGGTCCGGCATCAAGAAGCTTACTCCTGAACACGCTGTGGATTTCACCGCCGGTAGGCTCATGGAGGGTGATAAGTGGATAAAGCCCAGCGGAGTGCCTTACGTTGCTGGCATGGTTTCCGTTTAGGCATTTAGGCCCTATTTGGTTCACGGAATGGATTTAAGAGGAAATCACTTTCCATGTCATTTCCCAAGAAATGGAAAATGAAAGATTCATTTATCACGTTTGGTAATGTCGGGAAAGTAATTGGGAGATTTCACTTTGTTTCCTTTCCCATGTTTGTTTTAAGTAGGAATGGAAACCAAAGTTTGTATAATTTTCCAATTATACCCATATTAAATCAAATAAAAAAATACATTTAATGATACATTGTAATTCTAAATTGTTTATGGGGACAAAATGGTCATGAAAAATGTGCATTGAATGTTTGCTTATTTTCCCAAATTTTCTCATGTTGAGGGAAAATAAAAACCCAAGTTAAGAGAAGGGCTTCACTTTCCCCATATTTTCCCATGTATCAGGCAATCATTTCTCATGCCTAGACTTACCAAATATGGAAAAATAATTGATTTCTCATCCCCAAACCTCCTTTCCTATGAACCAAATGCGACCTTAAACAAACAGTTAGTGGCCTCTTTTATATTTTTAATACTTCAACGTTGGGGCCTTATACGTTTAATTGTGTGTATAAAAGAGTTTTCTTGTATGTAAACTAGGAGGCCATAGATGTTAAATCAATGGTCATCCGAGAGCCTATAAATAGATTTTATGAGAAGAAACAATACACTCAATTCTTCTAATTTTTCCTTTCTGATCTTTGTTTCTTAATTTATTATTATATATATTTGTTTATTATGGTTTGAGTTCACCAATAAGTGAGGAACATATTTAGATTTAAAAATTGCATTATTATTTATGAGTATTGTTATTTGTATCACATTTATTAATCACATTGCAAACCACCTCTTTATTTTAGACAGTGATGAAGCCAGAAATTCATGTCAAAGGAGCATGTTAGGTCATATGAAAGAAGACTTAATATAAAATCGGAACACTAAGAGAAATGTTGAAGGTTTTGTTATGTTAATTTGCATAAAAATGTTCTCTTGAATTTCTATTTTACAAGCCTGAACATATAGAAAAGGGAAAATAACTAAACAAAATGTATAGAAAGAGTTCTAGGACATTGGTGGTCGTCATCCAACAATTTCACTAACTTGAGAGGCACTCAAAAAAACACAACATTTATATACACATATAAGTAAAAATCTGATAAATAAATAAATATGAGAGGGGCATGGGCCACTTTTGGTCCTTAGGTGGCTCCGCCATTGAACATAGATGGGTCTCATATACATTTAGGGCGGAGCTAGGATTTTATATTTGAGGGTTAAACACAAAAAGTTTAGTTGTAGATTTTTTTTGGCCTATTGAGTAAACTATTGCCTACAAAAGCACTAAATTGAAATGAGTGGTTTTCTTTCATAAATGTAGTATGATTTTACTATTATGTTCATATTGAAATACAATTTTGGTAAGTATTGATTTGTGGTGAGGGGGCCATATGCTTCAGTATAGCAATTTTTATTTGCATTTGTTACCACATCCAATATATACATTCAAAGGGATCTAGGGCTCACTTTATTAGAGATGGTCAAAATGTACTCAATAAATGTGGTACAGATAATATTATTGATTACCTTATAAGCAACAATCATTTCATGATTTCATCATGTTGTACTTTAATTTTCATGTATATAACTTGAGTAATTATGTCATTGGAACAAAAAGTAGTGCCATACTTTTTATTTATTTTAATACAAGCTATAGTCTAAATTAGGGGAGGGGGTTTCTCACACACACACAATCAAAATGCAGTGGGGATTCGAACAT